AGTATTTGTGTTTGTTTGGTTATTGTTCATATACAAGAAACATTCAACCTTGTGCAGCAAGAAATATTTTTTTGTATGTGTTTGCTTTTATATATAAAAAAAAAACTTTTGTCCTTTCAAAATTGAATTGACTTGGTTACATTTATTTTTCTGTTATCCTGATTCTCACCTGATGAACTTGCAGGTGGACCAACAGAGAACTTCCAGATTTCTACGATCTGATGACAGCTTTCCAGGATCAAAACAATCACAACGTGGCTGGAGGGTGGCTTTGAATTGATATTGGGAACCGGAGACTTGTGTTTAACATGTAATACTGGACCAATGTCTGGTCTTGTGGAGTGCTTGGGTCCAGTGGGGTGAGGATTCAGTGTTACATTACTATGTACTGTAGCTCCATTATCATAGCAGCAGTCCGTCCCAGTAATTTTTGATCAAACCTTATAGATTAAATTATTACCCACTATTTGCTTAAACTACAATATGTTCCATTTCATGTGAGTCCCATATTCTTGAATTTTTTATTAACTGAATCAATTCGAACCAAAATTTGGCCAAAAGTGTGGCAGCAATGATATGCACAAATGAGTCCAATAATGTGAATCCGTAAAAAAGGGTTTGGGCCATGAATTGTTCAAATGATTTCTGATCATTGAACAGTATTAGAAAAAGCTAATTCCCTTACAAGAAGCCATCATCCAATCAAGAAGTTGTATACAATGCATTGTATACAACTTCTTGATTGGATGATGGCTTCTAGTAAGGGATTTAGCCATTTCTAATACTGTTCAATAATCAGTGCTAACCAGTATCATCCTTCACTAGTCCACAAATAGCACTTTCTTTAAAGCCACTTTATACTGTTAGACCCAGAAGACATGCTTGATACTTCAAAGAAGTGTGAATAATTTGTCAAGTGCCCATTCTTAAACACTTCAGTATGCATCATTGTGATATTTTGATACATTAGGAGTTCCGATGGCTTGGATGATTCTTTGCTAGTCTGAAATGTGTGTTTGTGCATCTTAATTTGTAATTGAGTATCTTGTTAAAAATTTCCATATTTACTTTGTCGGTGGCTTTAAAGAAAGTGCTATTTTTGGACTAGTGAAGGATGATACCGGTTAGCACTGACAGTTGGCAAAATGGTTGGGTCCTCAAAGAGAAACCTCAGCTTGTTTGGTTGAGGTGTCAGTAAAGTGGTGAAAGCTTATATGTTAGTTGGGAGTTGTTGATAATGAGTAGGTTGGCCCCTGTAAGGTGGTCAATTAAAATGGTCATGCCTACCTATACTGATTGACAAAAGTTCTGACATAGTTAAGGATCCAGTGGCATTCAAACGAAAAATAATTTTCATGTACAACAAAGCACCAGTTTGAACTGTTAGTCTAAATAATGAAAGGTCTAGATACAATTGACAGGCTTATACAGGGTGGTCTGAAAGTCCCGTCAAAACACACACACACACACATAGAATATAATTTTCTATTTCAGATGGCTGATATGAGTTCCTACAGTTTAGAAAAGAGGCTGCTTGTAAGTGTATGGACACATGATAGTGTGCATTCTGAAAAGAGCATGGTGGATGTGTGGCATGACCTCACTGCAAGATTCCACAAACCAGCTCCTCTGAAGAGGATGGCACTGTGATGGGAACACTATTTCTCACAGGATCAGTTAAGAACAAACTGACAAGACAACCCTTAACACGAAGAGACACACATGCAGAGGTGGAGGCATCTGTGCTACTATTATCCAAAAAGTCACTAAGAAAATGGTCTTCCGAGCTAGGAATTCCGAATTCGTCAATGAAAGTGAACAAACTGAATCCAGTACATATGCTTTGTATTACTTGTTATTTTATTGTCCTCTTTACTTTTTGGCAGAGGTGACAAGACTTTCGGACCATCCTGTAGCCAAACCCCAGTAAGAACCTTTGGAGCATTGTCTACATATAACGGTGTTATATTTATGCTTTGTTGCTGCATCTGGCTTGTCATCAGCTTTTGACTTTGTGTATCATTTCGTTGAATAAATTATTGTTGTGTTAGTAATAAGCATTTGTTTTTTATCCTTCCATCTTCACATTGATAGTTTGCATAAAATGTGGAACTAAAAATATTCTTTTAATGTATTCAAGCATAGTTCTATTTCAGGGTATTTCCACATAGAAAATGAATAAGATAAGAATATATAACTGAAATTTCGTTACTTTCCAACCACAAGTTTTTTTTTTTTAATAATTAGCAAAAAAATTTTAAAAATGCACTTTTAAGTGCAATTGTGCGATAAAAATAATGAGCCAGTCCGATAATTAAATTACCTCGTTATAAACTTTCAAGTTTTATAAAAAATAATCAGTTTTTTCTCGCACTTAGTAAATGTGTAAATAAATGCCATAAGAAAAAAAACATATCTTGGTACATATTCTTATGACGTCTTCTTTCAGATTTTCCTAAACTTTATTTCTTATCCGAGAATAAGTTATGAAATTTCTCCAAAGTTTCTTTTCGCAGTCTTCAATAAATCATTAACATTTACACATACGATTCTCAATTGCTTTATGAAAACCATCCACACTGGTCGTGGAGTTTGAGCTGTTCTGTTACTGATCTTTACTTTAACTTTTGAAATTAAATAAAATCAGTCTCCTACATTAACTAAGTCTGAAATATATGTCATTGAATGTTAAGTTATTTGCGAAATGAGTAAAGGAAGTATTTATTTTGCAAATAAATATGGTTTGATATCTGATCGATTGACACTTCTGGATTTTGATCATGAAAATACACACCCCATGATAATTCGTGTTTCGTGAAAAAGATGCCATGCTTGTGACGTCACTTCCTGTTATTTCAACCGAGAAAAGTTTAATCAATTTTCTTTTTTAATAAAACCTGATATATATTTTTTAAAGTCTCGGATAATTTAAATTCAATGACAGTTTGTTAAAAACAAAACAAAACAAAAAACCCAAAACATTTATTTACTTGATTACCTATTTCTCGAAAATTAATTCACTTATTTAATAATTTTTAAAACTTTTTAAAACCAATAGTTGCTGATCGTGTTCTTATTAAATTTTCTTTTGTGTTATTAAATTTTAAGTTTTTTTTCTTAAAGTTTTCGTTGATCATTGCTTAAAATAAAGTGGCATAAAGGAAGAAAGGGCCCTAGCAATGATACATTTTTTTTTAGTTTTGATTAAAAAAAAAAAAAAAAAAAAAAAAAAGGCAGGAAATATTGAATGAAAATTGGAAATAGTTGGAAAGTTCTATTAATCACTCAAAAAATTATTAATTATTTTTTTCAATTCATCTGAATTAAAAACAAACAAAAAAACCCCCAAAACTTGACAGTTTAAAGTTTAAACTTTCAAGTTTTTTCCCTTTTTTTAAAAACAAAAAAAGTAATTATTTTAAACTTTAAAAAATATAAAAAAAAGAGAAAATTTTCAGTATCACTTGTTCTATCTTTAGGAAAATTGATAATTAACTCACTTCTGAGAAGTTAATACAGATTTTCTTTGCTACTGCCGCACAAAAGAAAAAGACATGATTTATAAAAAAAAAAACGAATTAAAAAAAAGGCTCTCTAAAATTAACGACTGCTGAATTAGAAGACAATTCAAAAATAAAAAACATAATTCAAGCATAAAAATAAAATAATGAGCATTGTAACGCTCGAAACAATTTTAAGATTAAACTATTTTAACTAGCCTCATATTCTGAGCCAAGCTATGAAATAAAAAAAATGTCACTAATTATTCCCAATCGACATGAATGAAAATATATTTTTTTTTTCTTGTTACCTTGAGCTTAATTGGCCGAAAAATGCCATATCTGTGTATTTCTTCACAGAAATTAAATTTTTACCTTTGAAGAAGAATAAAATATTTGAACTTAAATTGCATTTCAACACTATTTATTTACCATTTTATTTTAGAAACATATTTTTTCTTATCAAATTCTAAGAAGGGATCAAAATATGGAGAATAATTACAAAGAAATGTTAAAAAAGAAGGAAGAGGTAATTCAGTGTTTGGTAACACGAAAATTGTTTTAGTAGTTAGAGTGGAAAAAAAATTAAAACGTTACCCTGAATGATTATCATTATTACTACTCCCAAATTAAAAGTTGAACTTTGAAAGAAATATTTTGAAAACTATTCCTTTGCTTTGCATTCCCGTTAAAACTTTGTTGAAATCTAAAAAAAAATCCTTAAAAAGTTAAATTAAATTTTAAATTATTTTCATTTGGTCATGTTCACCTTTGGCTTTGCTTTTTTAGTTTTAAAAGTTATTTTATTCCTATTTTTGTTTAACGAATAAAATCCGTTATTTTGAAAATCTACAAATATATAATAACAATAATAACATTGATAATATTTAAAAAAAAAAAAAAAAAAAAAAAATCAATAGTAGCTTTATTACCACCTCAAAAAGATAAACTATATACAAATCAAATAATTCAGTTCATCTCGATAACTAACTGTAATTTAGTGCTTGTAAATTCGGCCACCCTGAAAATTTACTTCCTGAAAAAATTAATGATAAATAAATAAATATAAATTTAAAAAAGTTACTAATTCTTTGACAATTGAAAATATTCAAGCTTAAAATAATAACATTTGCTAATATCTTTAACAAATAATATGTGTTAGACATAAAAAAAATTAACTGTCTTTTCAGGTGTAATTTAAATAAATAAAATTAGGTCAGACATTTTTTTTTCTTAAAAGATTGAAAAAGTTATATAAACATAAATTTTATTCCGGTAACTCAAAGTGAAATAAATCAAGAAACAGAAAACGTTTATTACTAAATAAACCTTAAAATATTAGTTTGCCACTAAAATTTACCTGTGGCTGAGATGGAGGGACACAGGTGTGATAACAATCAAATAGAAAACTAGGACTTTTTTTTGGCCTAATTTCACAATTTATACATTTTTATCATGTTCAACAAATGGTCTTCGTATTTAAATGAAAACTTTACATACCATTTTCAGCTTTAATTTGGGCTAAAAACAAGATCGCCAACGTTAAAAATATCCACACTGCTCTTACAGCGTCCATGGTTTAACTTTTACTTGTCGCGACACACCTGTCCGCTTATTATTGTTTTTTTTTTTTTACCTGTAGTAGTATACAGGTGTGGCTAAAAATCACAAGAAAATAGTTCCTAAGTATTAAAAGAAAAACCCTATACGCCGAATCAGTAGAAAGCAAGAAATATAAATTAAAGGTTTTCCTTTTAATTTATTAAACGACATAAAAAAAATTTTTTTCTTGAAAAAGTTTCACTTTTTCTTTTTAAGATTTAAGATTTTAAAATTAATTGCAAACTTATTTTTCAAACAATTTGAATTATATTTTCCAGGTTGGATTTCAGGACAGAGAGTGAATATTTAATTTCGGAAGATTTTTTTTCACGAGTTTCATATTTTGAATTACCAATTTTAAAACTAACACCAGCAAAATGTTAACCCCCCTCCGTATCAAAAATCGATAATCGTAATTATTTCTATATAAAGGAATTCCTTTGATTTAAAATTCGATTCTATGACTATTTTTCACTTTTTAACGGTCATTTTTAGCATTAATATCTAAATAAATTAAAATAAAATTACGTATTAAAAAGGAGTATTCAGTGATTATGAGTTTGAATAAATAAAAATAAATAAAAACTTCGGGTGTTAAACCGGAAGTTTCTATTAATAATCGAGATTTATTGCTCGCAAATACAGAAATTGTTTCTTTTAATAAACTCCATAAGAAGAGAACATTTTCAGGATAACGAGTCGTCACATGACAAATCTAACAGTAAACATCTTAGTTTGTTTTAAAACGAGATAATTCATTTTTAAAATGTTAATTGATAAAAACAAGGATGTGAGTTTCAGAAATAAAACTAATTTGGTTATTTTTTAAGGTAACAAGAAAAATTTCTATTCTCAAATAAAAAAAAAACATATTGTAGTAATTTAATATTTAATAAAAATCGTTACACAATTACAATTATTATGTTTCAACAGAATAACTGTCTCTTCAGGTGATATATATATATATATATATATATATATGTGAAAAGTGTGTGTATATAAATATAAATAAATATATATATATATATATATATTATTTATATATATATGTATGTATATATATTAGAAAAGCCAATATCAGAGATAGAGCTATATTTGTTGGATTGATGGTGAGTTTGTGACCTTGGTTTCACGCTATTGCAATTGTCAGAGTTTGTCTGACGATTGCAAAAGTATGAAAACCCAGGGTCACAAACTCACATCAATCCAACCAAATATATATATATATATATATATATAATTTATTTATTTTAGGATATTAAAACATGTTAAAAATTGCTACACAATTACAATTATGTTTTAACACCATAAATGTGTCTCTTTTTATGAAAAATAACTCAGACTTTTGCATAGCCATGGGAGTACATGATTTTGTGGAAGCATCTGAACTTGTAGGGATACTGTTACTATGGAGACCCAGATTTATCTCTGACATAAAAAAACAATAGTATATACAGAGATGACGGAATAATTCTCCTTTGTAAACTGAGACCAAAAAACAAACAGACCAGATGAGAAAGGACCTAAATTCTTTAATGATCATAAACTAAACATTACCACCAATACCAATGCTAAAGTCATCAATTTTCTAGATGTTACATTTGACCTGAATAAGGGCCTGTATAAACCATACACTAAGGATTCAGACAATCACAGGTATGGCGACAGAAAATCCAATCACCATTAAAAGATCCTTGACAATTTATACAAATATGTACAATTTAGGTTATTGACCAACTCCAGTAACAAAGAAATATTTGATGATAATAAAGTTAGATAAAATAAATCTCAAGAATGTAGAAACCATATATTGAAATTAGAGTATGTAGAATGAAATAACAATAAAGATAAAAGTAAGGTAAAACAACGCAAACGTAACATAATATGGTTCAACCCACCTTTCAACAGTAATGTCAAAAACAATGTAAATAGAATTTTCTTAAATTTAAATCACAAACACTTAGGCCATTCTCAAACACTAAATAAGATTTTTCAACAAAAATAATATTAAGGTAAGCTATAGTGTTACAAAAAGCATTGATAATTATATATCCCAACATAACTATAATGTATTAAGCAAGCACACAATCAAAACACTAAATAATAATCTGCTGTAAAAATGTAACTTGCTCAATTGCATGACTGAAGGAATAATCTACAAAGCTAAGATCAATTCAGATGGTGATATTAAATATTACTTTGGATCCACCAAGAACAGCTGGAAATCATGTTTTTACCACCACAAAATGACACTGAGCAATATCAAATATAAAAATTGCACAACACTTTCAAAGTATATTTGGCAATTTAAAAAAAAAAAAAAACAACAATAAGAACACAACCATTATCTGGGATATAATTTTGAAAGCTAAACCATACAATGGAAAGGGAGACAGATGTATTTTATATTTGTTGGGAAAGCTTATTATATTAAATAACCCTAACTTGCTGAACACAGGAAGTGAATGGATGCCTACATGTATCCATAAAACCAAACATCTGTTCAAACACATTGAGCCTGATTAAAATAGATTTAAAAATATATTTTACGAATATTAATATAATACATAGCACCTATTAATATCCATAGAACCCATCATTAATAACATTTTTTATATATCTATACACATTTATAATCCTGTATTACTTGATTAATTTATAATAATATATATATATATATATATATATAGCAGTGTGACCACAGAATAACAATAAGTTCACTATCTTCCCATATAAAAAGCCTACCAGCATAAATTCCTGTACCCTTAATTATAAAAGTGAATGTCTAAATTGCTATAAAACAGCAATTATAAAAACTTAATAAACCATGCAAAAATTAATTCATCCCCAAAACAGATTTTCTACAATGAACTAAAAAATATAAAACAAACTCTTATCAATAATAACTTCCCTAACTATATTGGTGATAAACAAATAAAATGCTCTGTCATAGATCTCTATACTAAACAAATAGAATATAATACTTCTTCAACTCCAAGCATGTCACTCATTTGTATTGTAACCAAATGCATTCTAATTATAAACAAGATGAAAATATCCTAAAAAATTTAATAAATACTAATATATCCACCACAGATACTAGCAAAAAAATAAAATGAATTATATACTACACTAGATCTACTATATCTAATACAATCATTTGCAATGACTCCTCCGAGCCTACTAACGTGTTGCAGAAAACCAACATTGTTTATAAATTTAAATGTCCTCTGGGAGGTTGTATCTCCCAAGGTAAAAATGATATTTATGCTGAACACACTACAACAACATTGTTTCAGTGACTAAGTTTTCATTTGAATTATATGTCTAACATTTGTAAACATTTACAACATACCTGTCCACATTCGCAATTCAGAAAAGTCCTTGTTGAAAATACCTCTATACTTTTCACGAAAAGTATAAACATAAACTAAAAATTCTTGAAGCTATCTCTATTAAAAAATTGAAACCATAAAATTAATAAAATTAATTATGAATACTCCACAAATATTTTAAAATGTGTATAATAGATAGGTTGAAATGCCAAAGTTTACAATAATAGTTTCTATTTTTAATACTCATGTCATAAAAAAACTCTCCAAACTATATGTAGTTACCTCCCTTTAAACAGTTTCAGTGGTCACACACTGACACATCATTCTTCACTCCATTTCTAAGAAATTTAACTTTAAGAATGGTTTTAGTGGTCATGCACTGTTGTACTGTTCCTCACTCCAGTTGTAAGATATTTAACTTTCAGATAACATAACAATTTGTCTCTGAGAATAATGTTTATTTTAATATATATATGATTTATATATGGGTTCTAAGACTAGAGGAGACCCCCAAGTGCCCTCTAATCTTGGTCCCCTGATTATTTCAATTTAGTACTGAAGAGATCAATTAGAAAAGATCCAACTCAATCCATAAGATGTTTGGTATGTGAGAGAGGCGTTTCAGCTATGACAGTCCAATGAGCAGTAAAAAAAGACTTGAAAATGAAATTGTACATAAAACTTGTGAGGCACCTTGTTACTCCAGGACAGAAACTTAGAAGGTTAGAGAGGGCGAAGATCATCTTGAATAAGTTGAAAAATGATCCTGGAATATATATATATATATATATATATATATATATATATATTTTGAACTTTATTTCAATCCTTCATGAGCTTCCGATCCTTAGCTATGTTATATTAATGATGAACATGTTATTTTCATTTATGATTGGTTTTCATCACGATTCTTCTGTTAAGCTTGGAGAGTAATTATACATTCTTATTGCTCAAAGTAGAGTCCAATAGTGTTGTAAAAACCTCAGAGAATTCCAGTAAGATATCTTTAATCATTTCTATGATACAATGGTTCAGAGCTTAATCTAACAATTGGGCAATTTTGCTGTTATGGCCGGTATGTACATATATACATGTTTTTCATAATTTTTTTAATATATATAATTTCACCCTTATTGAAAATTTCCCAAGTATAACATAATTTGTTAAATTCAAACTCATTAACTGTTTATCTTAAATAAATTAATTCTAGATTCAATGCATTTTATTTAAGTATTTTATATTACTGATACAATGGAAAACTGTTCTCTCATAACTTGTTCCCAGCTAGTAAATAACTACTTCACTCATTGTTAACTTTGAATTATATATATAAAAAGCTTCATCTGGATGGAAAAAAGCCTTTCATGCATGGGTAAATATATATGCATCTGAACAAATGATTGATAATCTGGTTAAAAGCATCATTTTAGCCTGAAAACAAATTTGATTTTTTTTTATTTCTGGTCAGCCATATTGGTTTTTCTCATTATTTCCTTACTTGTCTTTGCTTGCCATAATTTATTAATGTTGAATCTTCATGAAGAGATTTGCATTAAAAGGGTTTTATTTTTAAAAGGGGGATTTATTTTAGAAAGGAGATGTGGGTGGCTTAATAGTTAAAAGCATAAAAAATGCAATT